CTTAAAACTTGTTTGTGTGACCTCGGACCATATCTGCTACAGGGAAGTAGTTTCAGAAAACAAGTTTGGCAGTTCCATGAACTTCTTTCTTGTATTGATGTGACTTGTTTTTGTTAGGCCTATGAGAAGGGTTGTGGAATAAATTTGCAGCAGCCGTCTTACTGAGAGCCCTCTCGAACTGATCCCGCATGTAGTGTGACTTGCTTTAATTATTTCAGTCCTCACTCCCCACTCAGGAACTGTTTGACTCTGCTGGCGGGCTCTGGCAAGATGGCTGTGAGCTGCCCTGGGCGTACTGCAAACTGAACCTGCATCCTCTGCAAGAGCAGCAAGTGCTCTTGACCACTGAACCACCTCCCTAGCTCTTCTTTCTGTAGCAGAGAACTTTTGATTTTGCTCTTATAGAAAATGCTTTGCAGTGTTGGGAGGTGGGGGATTGGGGTATAGTTCAATGGTAAACACTTGCCTTGCATGTGAAAATTCCTGAGTTTGAGCTTCAAAACTATAAGAAGCAGTTGTTCAAGCACAAGGGTTAGGGTGGGGGATGAAGTTAAAAGGCCTTATCACTTAATAAACAATTATAGTGTAATGGGTCCAATCCTCCAGATAGGAGGCCTTTTGCTCCCAGCGTGACTGAGAGTCCTTTAGAATCTTTTAGAGTGTGGTGGTCCAAGCCTGTGGTCCCAGCACTTGGGAGCTGAGGCAAAAGGGTAATCAAGACTACAAGCTGAAAGCCAGGCAAGACCCAAATACTCCATCCCCACTGGCTATTTTTGATGTATGCATGGTTGGTTGAATCCTAGCATGTGGAGAAATGACCACTGCAGTGTAAAGCCTGGCCCAGAATGACTCCGTAAACCCACATTTCCTCTGAGATGACTGCTTGCTGATCCATATTCCTGAATGATCCAAGGTGACATTACCATAATTACATTCAAAGCTGATGGCTTTCAATTCACACACACAGGGTAGGTAACTCTAGAGCAGTAGGCAGGCATGGCTGGACATGACAATTTTTATTCTCCATTCTTCCACCCTAGATCCAGTCTTCCTTAGAGTAACTCTTCTTGAGCTTCAGCAGACCAGAAGCCCTCTTTCTTTCTAGCGAACTCCCCTGCAGACTTTCTTGCCAGCCGGCTGATATCCCACACGTATGTTTCTTTAACCTCACACTTTGGACAGCAGAGTGTAATGGAAGTTTTGGTTTCTTTGTAAACCCACTTTTGCTATGTAAATATGCCTTAACCCCAAATGTGGGATTTTAGTTGGGCTGTAGGTTGTCCACACCTGTTGATTGTCTGGTGTGTGGCTTCTGTTAGCTGGTACTGGCCTTCCACGTGTGGCACAGAGAGGAGCACAGTCTAGGACTCTGAGGGTGTAAATATGGGGGCCTGGAGAGCATGGTGGGATGGGCGGTGTTGGTGTGCGGCATGTAGCAGTTTGGAGAGACCCAAGATGGTGTGACAGCTTGGAGCAGACAGACGGAGAAACACTCTGGGGAGACTGCTGGCTGCCTTTGCTGTTAATGAAGAATGGTATAGAGCCCTAAAAGAACCCACCAACCCTAAAAAGCCTGAAGAAATAAAGGGGCCCCTTCTACCCACTAACCTCCTCTCTCCTACATAGGGTTGGGAGGTTGGAAGGGAGGTTGAGACCTAAACACCCCAAATAGAGTTTAGTTTTAAAAAACAGGTGCTACAGGAGCGTTATGACTTCCTTTTTGTTAAAAGCTCTCTCAAGCAAGGTGTGGTAGCGCAAGCCTTTACTTCCAGAACTTGGGAAGCAGAAGCAGATCTGTGTGAGTTCAAAGCCAGCCAGATCCACAGATTGAGTTCCAAGATAGCCAGGGTTACACAGCGTAATGCCAGGTTCATGGGACCCTCAGAGACCACCAGGAGACGACTTGATGCAATTGCAAGAGAGCTTTATTATGAGAGCGATCGAACTCGGGACCCAAATCTCACTGACAGCAGTAGAGAAGTGGGACCCCGAGCTCTGAGTGAACAGGATTTTTAAAGGGTAAGTCTGTGAGCAGGTGGTTTCCATGGCAGCAAGCAGGGGGGCACAAGCCTTGGCGTTACAGAATTGGGTGAAGTTTAGTAGGGCCGGGTGACCTTTTCTGAGGCACACAATCACAATGGCTAAGGCATATTATCACAATGGCTATTTTTCTAAACTATATCTGAAACATTGGGGAGAATTTTCCCACCCGATTTCCAACCGATTCCCATTGATTATTGCCAGGGAGTTTGTCTCTATTTTCTATGAAGCATTTATTCTTTTTCTTTCTTGGAGGCTGTTGCTAGGAGAGTTAACTTTGTTTTCTGCCAGGTGCACATTTTGTGATATTTCCTGGTACCTGAATTCAGTTCCCAGCCAAGATGGCTCTTTTTTTCAAAATGGAGTTATACTCGGGCTAACTGTACTCTTCAACAGAGAAACCCTGTATTGAAAAACCAAACCAAACCAACCAAATAAACAACCAAATGACCAATCACACAAAAAAACATCTCTGGATAGCTGGGCATAGTGGCACCCACCAGGATTCCAGGGCAGAGACAAGCAGATCTCTGTGAGTTCAAGGCCAGCTTGGTCTAACGAGCAAGTTCCAGGACAGCCAGGGCTGTTACACAGAGAAACTCCGTCTTGAAAAAACAAACACACAAAAAGGTGTCTGGAAAATTGATGATAGTCCGTGTTATCTATCAGTTTCCTGTGATTGTCACAACAAATGACCACATTTTGTGGTATAATGAGACAGAACTTATTCGCTCACAGTTCTGAAGAGCAGAAACCTGCAGTTAAATAGTTTCTTGACCTTTTGACTAACATCATGTGAAGAAGTCCACACTGAAGCTGGTGGTGAGGCCATACCACCAAAGGCTGCAGTGTCTTTCAGCTTCTGGTGGTTTTTGGCTTGTGGCTGCATGACTCAAATCTCTGTCTTCACTTTCATCTTGATGTGGTTTTCCCCTTACCTCCCATTTCCTGAGGCCCAGGCTTTCTTTGACATCACTATATGACCCAAGTTAAGAACTCAGCCCTTCTACCTCTGATTCTCACATGCTCTTATAGGTGTGAACCACCTCATCCTGTCTAAGAGTCTTTATTTCTTTAAAGACTTTCCCCACATCTGAGCATGTCCCAGCATTCGGGGATTAGGGCACATACCTTTTGGAGCTTCTCTTAACCCTATCAGATTACTCTGTAGACGAGGAAACTTTGGCAGGTAGAGACTGGAGGCTTACTTGAGGCAAGTTAGACCACCTGTACCACAGAGCTTTGCCCTTTCGAGAAGAAAGCAGAGTTGACACTCTGAAGAGGTCTGGTTGGTTGTTTACTGTATGAGAATCTCAGTTTTTATAAAAACACAGAGATGTTATGTGAATATGGTTTTGTTTTAACACCAGGTGTGGGAGTTTGTGCTGCTTCGTATTTTGTCCATAGCGGCTAACTATGATTTGTCTCATGCTCTGGCAGGGACATGATTTTGCCAGCTGAAGATAGTCTATGTTTGAAATTCCAGGGACTCTTTAGATAATATATCAATGCCAGAGCCCCAAGAATGGTGTATGCTGCCCCTGCTGCTGTTGCTGTGTGTTGCTGGATTGCTGGTGGATGGTTGGAGATAACCTGAAGAAGAAGATCAAACTTTCCCTGAGGAACTTCATGTTCCTAATCAGCAGGACGTGGTCTAACAATATCAACGGCCCCTTTTTCCTCTAACCTTTTTTTCTCTCTTACCTAGTGTTGGGGTGTAATGCCAGGATCACGGGACCCTCAGAGACCACCAGGAGACGACTTGATGCAATAGCAAGAAAGCTTTATTAGGAGAGCAATCGAACTCGGGACCCAAGTCTCACTGACGCAGCAGTAGAGAAGTGGGACCCCGAGCCCTGAGTGAGCAGCATTTTTAAAGGGAAAGACTGCAAGCAGGGGTTTCCATGACAGCAAGCGGGGGGGGGGGCTTTCATGACAGCAAGCAGGAGGTTTCATGCCTTGACATTACAGGATTGGGTAAAAGCCACAGGGACGAGGTGACCTTTTACATAATCACAATTGCCATTTTTCTAAACTACATCTGGAACACTGGGGAGAATTTTCCCAACCGATTCTCATTGATTATTGCCAGGGAGATTGTCTCTATTTTCTATGAAGTATTTATTCTGTGATATTTCCTGGAGGCTGTTGCTAGGAGAGTTAACTTTGTTTTCTGTCAGGTGCACATTCTGTGATATTTCCTGGTACCTAAGTTCAGTTCCCGGTCAAGATGGCTCCTCCTTTCAAAATGGAGTCACCCAAGCTAACTTAAACTCTTCAGAGGTATTGGAAGGGATAGGGGTGGTATAGGGAGGTAGGACAAAGAGCCCAATAAAGTAGCCAAAAGACTGGTTACAGTTAACCATTTCTGCATCTCTTACATTTGTGAGGAACAAATCAATTTGATCACCTCCAAGTCAGCTTCTAGTTTCAGGTGGGCCTCATCAAGCATAGCATTGTGTTGCATTACATTATTAAATTAAGATTCACTGTCCCATCCCAGGGACATTAGATATGGGACAATGGAAAATCATGACCTTAGACTAGCCAATAAGTTCAACTTTAGCAGGATTCCCTGAAAAGAAACAATGGAAAAAGGACCAGTGTTTTCTCTCTGGTGAGATTTCTGTGTAAGAATCGTAAAGTTCTTATGTGCTTGTCACAGAACACAAGATTGGCAGGTTGAGAACCATGGAGGTAAGAGAATGTGAAGTCTGTTCATACACATCAATATAAAAGATATGAAATCTTGTAACGGAGCATACTTTGTAGTCCTGGTACTTAGGAGGTGGAGGATACAGGAACATCAGGGGTCTGAGGCAAGCCCTGGCTGTGTAAGGCCCTGATGAACATACTGTCTGTCCCCCCATAAAAAAGATCACAAGTCTCTTGTGAGAGGAATTGACCAGGTTTTATGGTTCTTCAGCTCAGAGATGAATCTGTGGCCTTATGAGGATTCTTTATGACCTGGTCTCATGGGTATCCTTCATAAACTTTACACACCGAAAAACCATCACTATTAGAAACAGGAGCACAAGGACAACAAAGGCAATGGCAAAGCCTTTGTCCACATCGACTCCTTTGGACAGGCTCAAATCTTCCATGAGTTCACACACCTCTTACTGTCTTCCAGATGTAGCTACTTCCTCAGGCATATCTTCAGATTTGTTGTATTTCTAGAAAATAAAGAGCATAAACAAGTTGTTTTTTGTCTTGTGTGTGTGTGTGTCTGCGTTAGCGGTGTGTGGAAAGTGAAGGGGCAAAGGGTTGAAAAAATATCGTCAAGATTGATTTAAAAGCCAGGCATGGTGGCCCATACCATGATCTCAGCACTAAGGAGGCAGAGCCAGATTGAGCTGTAAATTCAAAGCTAGCCTGCCCTATGTGGCTCACCCTTGTTCCTGGTTGTCATTGGCCACCAGTTCCCAGGAACAACAAATAGCAGATGCAACAAATAGGGTTCAGTGGGCTCCATGGGCACAAACAGAAGTATTCTTCCTGGACCAGCTTCAGGGAGGTAGATCAATTTTATTCTTGGTAAATGAGGGTCATATAGGGCTTTGGGGAGGAAGTGAATATATCCCGGGTGGGTGAATGTCATTGTCTGAAAGGACAAGGCACTGAGATGCCTCATTAACACAGAGAGGCATTCCAGGAATCCCAGGCGCTTGCTGGCTGGTTTCTTGTAGGGAGAAAACTAGGTAGATTTGTAATTTCCCTGAGGACTATGTGCCATTTCTCAGGTAGGTATGTGGGGGTCCAGGATACCCCAACCCAGGCAAAGAAAAGGAAGCAATGCCTACAAAGGGAGTCCTCCATTTTGCATGGAGCTCAGGGCTTTCCAGTAATGGTGGACTGCAACCTTAGTAGCAGGATTTCCTGACAGGTCTACACCACAAGTTCTAGGTCAGCCAGAGCTACACAGTAAGACTGTATCAAAAACAAAAAATTCTAAACATTCCAATTCTATATCCCTCCCTAACTTTTCTTCTAATTCCTGAAATACCTATTGTATATTTTTCTTTGAAATAGGATTTCACTATGTAGCCCTGGCTGGCCTTAAACTCATGGAGATCCTCTTTCCTGTTCCTCTTGGGTGCTGGAATTAAAGACATGAACCACCATGCCTGGCTTCAACGTTATCCCTGTGTAAAGGTTTATTTCTATTTTTATATATGCGTGTGCCATGTGTGTTTGGTGTCCATGGAAGCCGAAGGATAAAATCATATCCCCTGCTCACAAGCATCCAACCAAGTGCTGGGAACCCAACTCACACCCCCACCCCTGGAAGAGCAGCAGGCATTCTTAGCCGCCTGCCATCTCCCCAGGCCTAGCTGTATTATCTTAATTCATCGTGTAGTGACGTAACATTGTCATTGTTCCCACCACTGTTCCCTAGATGGTCATTCCTCGCCCTCGAAGAAGAATCATGTACAACCAGAGATCAATTTCAATCATTAAGACTTAGTTCACCAGGGCTGAATTTGATTGTCCACCCGAACTAGACGGGAAGGGCCTATCACTAGAGATGCCTCCCATGCTCGTCCTTCCTGGCGTTCTCTCCTAATGCTGGAAGGCACTGTGCATGCTGATGGGAGTTACGAGAAATGGCTCGGTGATTAAGAGCATTATTGCTCTTGCAGAGAAACTGGGTTTGGTTCCCAGCACCCACAAGGCATCTGACAAACATCTGTAAGTCTAGTTCTAGGGAATGTAATACTGTCTTCTGACCTCTGGAAAGTCTAAGCACACATATGATACACATATGTACATGCAAGCAAATGTTCATACACGTTTTTTAAAAAGTTTAAGATTTTACCTATTTATGAGATCCTGTGTACTGCACAACCAAAGTGCTAACGGTAGGTATCATAGTTTGATTGTTATGGAGTGTTGCAGGATATTTGATCCCATCGTGAACCCTGAGATTGTGAACTGTTTGCTGTGGTTCAACCCTAACACACACCTTTAATCCAAGAACTTTCTGTTGATTGTAAACAGGTGATTGTGGTGTGGCTCAGCCGTAGCACTCACCTTTAATCCAAGAGCTTTCTGTGCACAGGATTTAATAAAGTTAACCCTAGGTCAGGAGGAGGAGCAAGTAACCAGCTGACAGGGATTAAGCAGAAAAGAGGGAATGTGGGCTGAAGGGTATTTAAGAGAGCTTGGAGGAGGAGGAGGAACTTTTTGGTTTTTAGCTTCTGGCTTTTACCTCCTGGGATGTCAGGTGAGCTAGCAAGCTTTTGGCCTTGGGCTTTTTGGCTTTTTGCTTCAGGACCTGAACTGAATAGGAAGGTCAGCTGGCTGCTCTCTCTGCCTCTCTGAGCTAGCAGGTTTTCAGCCCAGCATCTGGCTCCTGAGTCTTCCCTGGGAAAACTGAATGATTTGGGATCTTTATTAATATATTTATTAACGGGTACCCAACTGCTCTGATTAAATCTGAGGCATGTCCCACAGGAGGGGATTTATGATTGGTACTGTAAAGCTGGCCAGAATCCTATAACTAGACATAGGCAACATAGACCCCATTGTGGAAGCCACTACTGTTTTGTTTTGTTTGTTTGTCAAATTTTGACATGTTGTGCCCATCAAACTACATTTATAGTTATACTAATAGCCTAATGCTCCTCTCTGTAGAAGAATTTTAATCCAGCAATATGGCTGCTCTGGCAAGGGATCACTTCCAAAGATCTTCTAGGGCTATGTGGTCCAGCTGGAATGCAGACACACCCTGGATTACAGTATGATATGGCTGGAATACAGCCATGCCCTTAGATACACCTTTAATCCCAAACAATGTAGGTAATGTTAGTTTGTAGAAGGAAACAACCACATTTGAAAATGACATCTAGTTACAGGATAGACAAAATGACAAATCATAGAAAGATTCCAGAACAGGATATTCCCAACTCTCACAAGAACAGATTGGAAGCTGGTGTGGTGGCCAAACCTCTAATCCCAGAACTGAGGGAGGCAGAAGAAGGCGGATCTCTGTGAGGCCAGCCTGGTCTACCAAATGAATCCAGGACAGCCAAGGCTACACAGAGAAACCCTGTTGAAAGAAAGAAAGAAAGAAAGAAAGAAAGAAAGAAAGAAAGAAAGAA